AGTATTTCATTGGTAAATAAAATCATGTTAAAAATAAAGTTGTTACAAAATTATATTTATAAATAAAAAAAATTTTATTACACACATTAAAAGTCATACCATTATTGACAATGATTTCACTTCATCTCTACCAGAACTCGCAAAAACATCAGATAAACAGAAAAAGAAGCAGTTAAATTTGTCAAATTTAATAGTGATGCAGGTTGCATCAAATAACCTCTTAACACCCACAATGCAGTGCACTCAGAAATAATTTTTATGTCTTCCAAGTACCTGGCCTTGGGATTATATGAGGTCTTTGATAGCAGTTATTACCTGTCCAGCCCTTTATGAGGCTGACGACTCAAAATCCAACACTTATTAACATTTAAATAAAAAAAGCATGACTCTGAATGTTAAATTAATGCTCTGTTGCTAAAGTAATTATTAAACTGATCTTATAGTATTTATGTATTTGTAAAACTGAAGATTAGGCACAACTATTCTGAACCAGCAGGTGAGTGACTCATCAATGGCTTCATGCCAAACAGTTACTTCCTCCAGTTTAACACTAATTTAATGCTTAATTTAAAGTTTTAACACATTTATCACTCAGTCCAGCGCCTCTCTAACCCAGCTTACTTTGAGTTTGTCGTGTCGTAAAGTGGTTTTGAGTTTAAAGTTGAACTTACAGTTTCTCTGTGTCAGTCTGTGTTGGCAAAGGGCAGCAGGTGAAAGCACAGCGGGGTTTGGTGCCAGAGCAGCCGCCCTCCACGCGGAGCTCACCGCCTTCAGGTGAGCCGCCATGTTTACAGGTTGTTACGGTCAGTAACGCAGCAGCAGGACCCGGAGCCTCTTCTGTCTGTTTGAATGAACAGCGACGCAGCACAGGAGCCCGGGGGAACTGGTGACGGAAGACAGCAGTGAACTTTAGTCTGTAAGGCAGGCCGTTGTAGCATATAATCAATCAACTCACTTTTTTTTTTTTTTTTTTTCATTTTCAGTGAACACATAGATTTGTTATCCGTTATACCCGAGGTATTTGCTCTAAACTGATTTGTGTTCAACTTCCCTTCAGGATTGTAGATGAGATTTTTCATAAATATCAAAATATGCTTTTTGAGCTTGATGAATTTGCGTTTCCAATTGTGTTTTCATTGCAACCTCAGTTTTTATTCAGTTGACCTGTGCACACAAAGATACGAAGTGGTGTATTGACAATAAATAATTAGTCTTAAAAATCCTAAGTTTTTAGTTTTTAAATTTTGTTAGAATTTTTTTTTAAATGCTCCCACATGTTCCTTATGATTGAAAATCAACAACATACATTATATATTCAAGTTTCAATCTCATATTATATTATACAGTGGGGAGAACAAGTATTTGATACACTGTTGATTTTTCAGGTTTTCCCACTTGCAAAGCTTGTAGATGACTGTAATTTTTATCATAGGTACTCTTCAACTGTGAGTGAT